AAAAGAAAAGAAAAGAAAAGAAAAGAAAAGAAAAGAAAAGAAAAGAAAAGAAAAGAAAAGAAAAGAAAAAAAGAATGAAGTGCACCGATAACACAAAAATAACTTAAAAATTATGTTAAATGGAATGAATTTCAAAACTGGTACAAAGATATGTATAACAAGAGTGTTTTTGTTTTTTTTTTTAAATGATAACCATATAATTGTCTTCTAAGCATAAATAACAATGGAAGCAATCAGTTGAATTTGCCGGTCAAAGCCAGCAGAAACAAAAGCAAATACAGCGTTTATTATGATCATTACACGCCCCAACAGCCTTTGGAACTCCTGAAAGGCTACTGAAGGGAGGTTCACGGATATTTGCACAAGTGGTCATATTTGCTAACAGTCCTCTTAAACGCTTTGATCTCTATTTATAAAATTTGTCTTTGAAACAGTTCAATAACACGGTGCAAAGTACCGCACCGGCAATCTCAATTCCAGCTACCTGTCCTCACAAACAGATTCCTGTATGGAAGCTGAGCACTAACTCTATTTGCCTTGCTCCTGATTGGGTAGCGTACCGATGATGTTTTTCCAAAATGTTTCTCTGCCTATGAAAAAAGGTAAGGCTTCTCCAGAGATTCAGAACCGGGACAGAAGACATATATGTAGCACAAGGTCAGGGAATTTTTACTGGAGCTGCCCTACCTGAACCAGTGGCAATTACTCCTACAATACATGCAGGGTTTTGGTGATGCAGAATCTCTCTCGAGCTCTGATCTGCACTTTCACTTTCTCAGGAAACTTGTGGAAAATCTTTCTGAAGAAACATTGGTTTCAGAAATCAAATATAACAAGTTCAACTAGTGCCAGTTGAAATACCACCGCAACCCACCATTCCCGGCTTGAGACCCTCACGGCTCTTCTCGTACGAAGCGAAAAGACGCTTTATTTCTTCCAGTTCCACATTAAGGACCGTGGGGATGTATGCGAGACAGCTCGGTGAGCCCTGCTGACAACGTACACCCCACCCTAAGTGCCATTTCCTGGGAAATGCAGCACAGGGGCCACAACGCTCCCGAGAGGCGCCTCGCAGCTCGGCATGCCCTGCACTGCTTGGGGAGCACTGCTGCTTCCAGAAGGCTGCAGGCATGCAGCGTGCCGGCTGCCTCTCCCACGTGGCCTCACGCTGGCACAGCTCCCCAGCACGTACCCTGCTGCCCTCAGTGCACGTGTTTGCAGGGGAGCGGGAGATTTTGTTTCTGAGTAATTTGGAAACTTAAACCTTAAGAAAGTGATTTCCAAAGTCTTGTAGATCAATTCCAGCAACTGCCTGATGGCTTTGTAGTCAGAGAGGAAGTGATCTGTGAAGTGCTGTTCTGATATGCTCTGCCATTATGGCAATTATAAAAGTGATCAAGTAATACTTATGGTTCGTAATATGCAAAACTGCATTTCAAAACCTGAACGTGAAAGGGCTCAACGTTTACTAAATGTCAGTTTGCACACAAGTAATGCCACATATGGCTTCTTCATTGCTCAGGGCCTTCTGCAAAGCATAAGTTGTGCAGATGATGCAGTGCTTCTGACACAGAGTTTCACACTCCCTTTTGCTTACCATAGAAACCAAGAAAATATTTGTGGACATTCCATTAACATTTGCAGATAAGTAGAAACGAAAATTATTCTGAACACAGGATATGGTGGCTGAACAACTAGATCATCACTTCCTCCTTAGTATGGTTCTGACTGAGAATGAAAAAATGCTTTGCTTAGGTAAGCCACATCACCAGTAAGACGCGCCCTCCATGCATGGCAGCGAGCACTTTGGTGCTGCTTCTTGACACAGCCCCCTTTTTAGGACCAAAATCTCACATTTCTGCTCTGTTACACTTTGCTTAAATTCTGCCAGCCCTGAAAATTTGCCACTTGTAATGTGGCAGCTGGTGACCACTCTGCAGGAAGAGGCATTTGTGCTCATACACTGACAGAGATCCTAATGCAGTGCAAGGCTCCCGCCTACCTCTGAGGTTGCAGGTCTCAGAGAGCATGCTGCATTTTAGCCCTCTCAGCTAATGAACTTCCTTCTGTTGCCTCTTCCCTTCCCCTCACCCACCCAGCTTCTTTATCCCCTCTCTTGCTCCAGCCAGGTTTCTTTCAGCTCTCCTGAACCCCAGCTCCTCTCCCAGTTCTGCCACATACCAGTGGTTCCCTGATGTCACCAAACATACTTAATCCAGTGCTGCACATGTGCAAACAGCCAAGTGGAGATAGTCTGCTTCCTGAGCTCCTCAGAATGTCATACTTGGTTTCCTCTTCTTCCAGCTGCCCCAAATGCTCCAGAGCCAAATTAGCTCCTTTTCCCCTTTAACCAGTCTTTAGATTTTCTGCTTGTTCTGCCAGTCCCCAGGATATCACGACTTTTATATTTTCTACAGATTAGTCTATATACAAGAAAACAGAATAATTTGCACACTGACACCTAAAGGAGAAACTTTACTCCATTTCCACTGTACAGTTTGTGACTCTACTATCCAGACGGGATGATAACAGCTAAAGAACAATATCAGTAGCGAGTGCTGCTTCTTATAATTTAAATATCAATAGATTTAGGCAGCATGCCAGAATGAAAATAAATGAAATATATATCTAAGAGGCATGAGAAAGGTAAGAACATCTGCAAAATTGTACCAGTGCTGTGTTGGACTTGGAATGAATGAAGATGGCAATGTGCTCAGCAAGAAATAAAAAGCTGTATTTACAGTCTGAAGAAGGATACTTTTTCTCTGAAATAAAGCTGTCTGCCTTATTATACCTGACAGACATTGCTATCTGGGACCACCTAGCCCCAGGAGGTTCACTCCTGCACTTCATGATTCCTATTTCTGATGTAAAATCAAATTATGGTACATATCTGTTCAGTAGCATTGCAAACACAAGACCTAGGCATCGTGTCTGTCTCGGTTAATTTCCATTTACTTTACAGAGCAGATTTTCACTTCTGGATATCTGCTTAATTTAAAGGGATCTGTGCAATGCACAGCCCTTTCCAAATATAGTTGCTGTCTGAATAGCATACAGTTCAAAAAAGACAAAGACAAACAGAGGTTTAGGGATGGGGTTGAGTAACAGAGACACAAAAGACTACATTTCGGTTTGCCACAGACTTTAAGTACAGACCAATGCCCAGTTGCACAGCTACAGGAACAAAGCAGGGATCAGACTGTAACACAGTGGCTATGTCTGTGCTGGGAAATTAAATGGGACAGGAAACGTTCCTTTGGCACGGAGACCAACAGGCACAGAGTGGCCTATGTCCATGTTACTAAATTCTCAAGCCTCCAAA